CTCCAACTTGTCACCCACACCCACACCCCTCCCCACCCCACCCTGTCTGGCACTGTGAGTGATGACAGTGCCTCCTCCTAAGGCCTCTCTACCACAGGGAATATGATTTTTACAAGTGTGTGTGTGTGTGTGTGTGTGTGTGTGTGTGTGTAATCAAGAGGCCCAGTGGTGTACAGTAGATACCTGTCATGGTAATAAACCTTACTATTATTATTATTATTATTATTATTAATCAGGTGATGAGGAGTCTTCTCTCTCTCTCTCTCTCTCTCTCTCTCTCTCTCTCTCTCTCTCTCTCTCTCTCTCAAGAAAAGAAAAACGAGAATCCGGGTCCTGAGCTGCCTGTGATTCACCTCCCCTTGGCCACACACTACCACAAATCCCAGCCAATTAATAACTCACCTCAAACAATTAATGAATTCTGATTGGTTCTCAATAAGCGAATGATGAGCCCGACTGTTGCTCCATAACACCAAGAATACGACGTGGTTATCTGTCTCTCGCCTCCTCAATACGGATATATTTAATGGCAAGGTTAAATAGACAGACAGACAGACAGAGACAGACAGACAAACGGAGGTGGCACATACACACAAAATACATATAAACACACAAACGTAACCCATCACCTCCTCCTCCCATCCCCACAAAACAAACAAGAAACAAACAAACAAACAAAACACCCTCCATACACCTGAACCTACCAAATCTTACCTGGGCGTCACAGAAACCAATTACCTACCATACCTTCACTCACCAACAAATCTCCTTAAATCACCTGCACGATCGGTACACACACACACACACACACACACACACACATACACACACACACACACACACACACACACACACACACACACACACACCTGTCTTAATGAGAGAAGATTGACCTAATGCTAAGATATTCCCCCCTGATAAATTTAAATGGACGGAGACTTTTAATTAGGTTGCGTCAATTGATGGTTCCCGACAGGTGAGAGGTTACTAATTAGGGCTTTACCTGTGTGTGATGTTAATGGCGGATTATTCCCCTGTGGGTATTAGTTTGGATATGTGGGTGTTGGTGTGGGTATGTGGGTATGAGGGTGTGGCAGGAATGTTGGTGTGGTATGAGGGTGTGGGTACAGGGTGTGGGTAAGGGAGGGGTGTGGGTAAGGAGGGTGTGGGTATGGAGGGTGTGGGGTATGAGGGTGGATATGGATGTTGGTGTGGGTATGAGGGTGTGGGCATGTGGTTGCTGGTGTGGGTAAGGAGGGTGTGGGTACAAGTATTGTTGGTGGGTAAGGAGGGTGTATGGGGGGGCGTGGATATGGGATGTTGGTGGTGGGTATGAGGATGTGGGTATGAGGGTGTGGATATGTGGATGTTGGTGTGGGTAAGGAGGTGATGTGGGTATGAGGATGTGGGTATGTGGTTGTTGGTGTGGGTATGTGGGTGTGGGTGTGTGGTTGTTGGTGTGGGTATGTGGGTATTGATGTGGATATGTGGGTGTTAAGTGTGTGTGTGTGTGTGTGTGTGTGTGTGTCAGGAAGCAAGAGACAACAGCTATAAATGGTTATCTCTTCACCCCGTGTTTTCATGGCGGATCAATGTGTGTGGGCGCGAGAAGGAGCTTTATCACGCCCACACGCCCACACATGCATCCGGAAACCATAGCCTGAATGGGTACATGTTAACTACACCACTCTATGACAACAAACTTCTCGCTGATTGGCTATTACGTCACAACCCAACAAACTTCTCGGTCATTGGCTATTACGTCACAACCCACCAAACTTCTCGGTCATTGGCTATTACGTCACAACCCAACAAACTTCTCGCTCATTGGCTATTACGTCACGACAACCAAACTTCTCCCTCATTGGCTATTACGTCACGACAACCCAACAAACTTCTCGCCCATTGGCTATTACGTCACGGCAACCAAACTTCTCGCTCATTGGCTATTACGTCACGACAACCAAACTTCTCGCTCATTGGCTATTACGTCACTACAACCAAAGCGTAATGAGGATCGAGAACTAGTTACGTCACCACTTCACCCCCATTCTGGTAACTGTCATTAATACGAAAGGGAACACAAAATGGGGTGATTTTCTCTATCTTGGTAACATTGTCATACTAATTAGAAGTGATTTAAATATAATTAATTACCTGAAAGACAATGTTTACGTTACCTGAAGACTTGATGGGACAGGTGCGACTTTCCCTCAGGTAATTTATTTGAAGTTGCCAGATTTTTTTTATAAGTTCCCAGATGTTTATGTTAATAGTTGCCAGATGTTTATGTTAAAAGTTGCCAGATGTTTATGTTAAAAGTTGCCAGATGTTTGTTAAAAGTTGCCAGATGTTTATGTTAAAAGTTGCCAGATGTTTATGTTAAAAGTTTCCAGATGTTTGTTATAAGTTGCCAGATGTTTGTTATAAGTTCCCAGATGTTTATGTTAATAGTTGCCAGATGTTTGTTAAAAGTTGCCAGATGTTTGTTAAAAGTTGCCAGATGTTTATATTAAAAGTTGCCAGATGTTTGTTATAAGTTGCCAGATGTTTGTTAAAAGTTGCCAGATGTTTATGTTAAAAGTTGCCAGATGTTTATGTTAAAAGTTTCCAGATGTTTGTTATAAGTTGCCAGATGTTTGTTATAAGTTCCCAGATGTTTATGTTAATAGTTGCCAGATGTTTGTTAAAAGTTGCCAGATGTTTATGTTAAAAGTTGCCAGATGTTTGTTAAAAGTTGCCAGATGTTTATATTAAAAGTTGCCAGATGTTTATATTAAAAGTTGCCAGATGTTTGTTAAAAGTTGCCAGATGTTTGTTAAAAGTTGCCAGATGTTTATATTTTCTCATTTTATTTTCTGTTTACGATTCTTATTTACTTGTTTACTTCAAGTTTATTATACTATTTTTGTTAAATGGAGAGAGAGAGAGAGAGAGAGAGAGAGAGAGAGAGAGAGAACAAAGAAGAATAGGAGGAATGAAAGACAGGGATAAGAGAGGAGGGGCGGAAGAGAAAGAAAAGGAACAGGAGGAGAAAGAGGAGGAGGAGGGGTAGAAGGAAGAGGAGGAGAAGGAAGAGAAGGAGAGGAGGAGGAGAAAAGGAGAAGGAGGAAGACGAAGAGGAGAACGAAACACGAGGCAAAGGAATGAATAACGAATGGAAATGAAAAGGTCAAGCGAAGAGAGAGATGACGGAAATAAACGAAGTGCAAGAAACAAAGGAAGAGAGAGAGAGAGAGAGAGAGACAAGGGGGGAGAGGGGGTGGGGAGTAGGGGTGGGGTAGGTGGGGTAGGGGTGGGGGTGAGTAGGGTGGGGGGAGTAGGGGTGGGGGGTAGGGGTGGGGGTGAGTAGGGGTGGGGGGTGAGTAGGGGTGGGGGTGAGTAGGTGGGGGGGGAGGGGGGGTGGGGTGGAGGGGGGTGGGGGTGAGTAGGGGTGGGGGAGCAGGGGTGGGGGGTGAGTAGGGGTGGGGGTGAGCAGGGGTGGGGGTGAGAGGGGGGTGGGGGTGAGGCAGGGGGGTGGGGTGGGGTGGAGTAGGGGTGGGGGAGAGGGTGGAGAGAAGAGGAGAGGGGTGAGAGAGGAGTAGGGGGATGAGAGGGGGGGATGAGTAGGGGGGGATGAGTAGGGGTGTTTGGGCCGGGGTTTGATCTCACTTGTTAACACTTGCCTGAACGAGTGTAGGGTAGTCGCTGGTACCTTTGATGAAGCTGGGTGAGATAATAGGTAGTCTCACGGCGTGTCACCTTTGATACAGTCGTAGTTTTGAGTCGTTGAGTCGTCCAAGCCCACCTGGGTTACACTTGTAATTATCTTAGCTTGTAAGTATACACAGGTGTACACAGGTTCTGTTATCTTCATTTGTGGTTCCTTGGTTTAATGTAAACACACGTGGTGATTTTCTAGTTATATTGGATGCTCTGGTAGTTACAGAATTGTTTGTTGACAGACTACTGAGCATTAGCTATTAGCTTGTAATTAGCTGATAGAATTAGAGAGAGATACAGCCTTGGGAGCTATGCTCACACACGTCTCTTTGGTACGGTGTCTGGCTGTGAACTGGTGAAACTGTGAACTAGGCGAACCTCTCTGTGTCTGCTTGTAAGGGGGTATGTAATCTATACGTCAACACAGAGATAAGAGGCTACACTCCCCAGGCCTACTCTCACGGAGGCCTGGGGACATATATTTATCGGTTGTAACCTGAATCTGTGTGAAACTACAAATGTTTATGTGTGCTGTCCACCCTAGGAGGTGTGACAGAACAAATGCTTATGTAACTGTATGCTCAATAGTCTGGGTGGTAGAATGTGTATAATGAATATATGTCTTTAGCCCATATTTATATAATACTGATTGATAGGGGCTAGAACAGGGGGTGAGTAGGGGAGGGGGTGAGTAGGGGAGGGGGTGAGTAGGGGAGGGGGTGAGTAGGAGGGGTGAGACATAGTAAAGGTCAAGAAGATAAAGCAATAATAGACGATGATAAAATGGAAGGTGGGAAAAATTTAAGTTAAGGGTCAATTATCGTATAGGTAAATAATGTAGGAGCGTGTGTGTGTGTGTGTGTGCACCTGTAATTGTACCTGTACTATTACCTGTACCTGTACTATTACCTGTACCTGTACTGCCGTTTCTTCTCTGGTGACACGAAAAAGACACTGTATAGTTGGTGAACACAGATCAGGTAATATCCCTTGTATACAACCTAATTTATCCCAATTCCCAATATATCCCAATCCCCAATTTTCCCCAATCCCCAACATATCCCAATCCCCAACTTTCCCTAATCCCAATAATACTAAACATTAACACAGCCCTCAAACCCTGTAAAAATATATCAAATAAAATCGGGGAAAAAATATTGAACTTGGAAGTGGCGCAGCGGTCGGAGAAACTCTTTGTCGTTGGTGTAACATGCAATACAATTGTGGTAACTCGAGGCCAGGTAATACAGCGGCCATTTGGTAGATATTTATTCGTAATCGATGTACGTGTGACTCACCCTGATCCCGGCAGCTCGATGAAGTGGGGGTGGTGGCAGCTGGGGGAGAGACACCCGTAGAGTTGCTGTGGTGGGTGGTAGTGCTGGTGGTGGAGTTGTTGCTGCTGGATGGGTAGTGGGGGAGGAGGAACCAGGTGCTGATGGGGTAAACAACCATACCGTAGCTGCTGGAAGGACTGAGGGGGCGGCAGCGGCGGTGGTAGAGGTGGAGGGCGTGGTGGGGGAAGCTGGCCGTAGCAAGACGAGTAAACACTAGAAGTTGGCGCTGGATGATTTCCCGGGCCAGAGTGGAGGGAATTACCATTGGCTTGTTGAAGCGGGGCGTTCACGTAGAAGGCTTGTTGAGGGCGCTGCTGGGGTGGGTGTTGTGGGGGAAGGTGTTGTGGGGGCAGGAGTTGAGGGGGGGCAGGAGTTGAGGGGGGGGCAGGAGCTGAGGGGGGGCAGGTGTCAGGGGGAGGGGTGTTGAGGGGTGGGCAGGTTGTGGTGGAGGCGGGAGGATGCTGGGGAGAGGGTGTGTTGAGGAGGTGCTGTGGGTGTGGGTGTTGTTGGGGTGGGTGGGCCTCTGGACGTGGGGGAGGTGGGCTTGCATGGGCCACTGCACATGGCTGTGACTGTGGGTGGGAGCCTGTGGGAGGACACCGCTGGGGCTGAAAGTGGAAGGCGGAGTGTGGGGGTGGAGGTGGGGGAGGAGGCTGGGTAGGAGGGTGACAGTGGTGCTGGGGTCTTACGGGTCCTGGGGTCATATGAGGCCGCCCAGGAGGTACTCCGGCATGTGGGGGAAGTGGAGGGGGTTCACAGTCACCATGTTGGTGTGAGGGAGGGCCAGATACCAGGTGTTGGGGCAGAGGAGGTGGTGGAGGCTGGTGGTGTGGGAGGGAGTTGTAGTGGGGAGGGACCTTGGGCACGGGCTGAGAGTGAGGGAGTGAACCAAACCGGTTGTCCGGGAAGGGTGGGTGTTGATGGTTGCATGGCGGGGGTTGTATGGGCCGTGGTTGTGTACGGTGAGGGCTGTGGTGAGGGCTACTGTTTGGGCTGCCCCGTGGGCTATGTGGCTGCTGGAGGGCAGGTGGGTGGGCGTGCCGCGGCACTGGGGGGGCGCCTGGACCAAGCACCCCGGGCGGGCCTGGTGGTCGGGGCACGCAGTAGGCGTAGCAGGACGGGCACGGCTGCACACCCGGCGGGACGTGCATGGTGGAGATGAGACAAACTGGTTATACAGCGGCCTTCACGCTCAGCCTCATCTCAGCATTTAGTTGTCTCGTGACAGCAGACGTGATGCCAGTGTGGTGGTGTGGAGCCTCTTCCTCCCTGGCACTGAGTCACCAGGCACTAACTACACTACAGCCGTCTAGCTCTACTAAGTTACCATAACGGACCACTGCTCGTGGCCGTCCTCGTCTCTACCAAGAGCTATAATTTGAGGCAGCTAAGCATGTCACCACTACTTTGTCTGGCCTTGTTAAGTTACCTTCTCACTCCCCGCGCCTCCCGTATGTAGATGTGCACATGATGGGGCATCCTCTCTCCTCTACGCACATTGCACGACACTCATCGCAACGTTTGATTCAGCTCGCTTCCCTCCGCTGAAGGTCTCAACCAAAACTCACGCTCTGGAGCTGTTCACCCACGAGTATCAACCTTCACACCACAGCGGTCTGGTGTTCACGGATGATGTCCAAGCCTTACACCCTCGACGACTATGACTCAGTGATCAGGAAGTACTCGAGTGGTACTTGCTGCCGTAGCTGTAGAACAGTGCACTAGTTATGTACCCCGGGTGGCTGGGGGCGGGTGCGTGGTGATCAGGCTCCGTTGATGACAGTGCGACGCAGTATTAACACTTCTTGGGGAAGGTGAGGTGACACAGGTGAGAGTGAAGGTCAGAGGTGGGCGTGTAGGGCGTGGGGGGCCTTGACACCTGGGGAGACAGCACGCCGTGTAGGTCCACTTTACCCAAACACACCGTGGGGGACTCGCCCACCTCCGCTGACTCGCCTCACAATGTAAACAACGCACTTAATTTTTCACAACAAACACCACGTGATTGACTCCAGCGCAAAATTGGACAACACTTGGTACAGGTGACCTAGGACAATAGTTTTTCTGTTACAATAACTGTATAACTGGAGCAAGAGGAAGTTATGGTGCAGCGGGCGAGAGAACGCACGAGACGCGTCAAACAGTCTGGCACACACGGGCTTGACTAGGCAGACGGGAGAGCTGGGGCAACGCGTGGCCGGGAAGGGGAGCTGGCAGGGGAGAGTAGGGGGAGGGGCTGTCGCTCACGCTCCCCCACAGCTGCTTCCTCCCTCCTACCTAAGCTAGACCTACAGCAACACACGAGAGAGTTCTGGTGTGTTGTTACTGCGCTATCCGGTGTACGTGGTAATACCGGTTCATATTGGCCCGCCGTTCAACTGGTTGAGTTTTCCCTCATAAGGCGACCCCGGGCGGCCGGTCGAGTCATTCAGCCACCAACAGACGCACACATCCACAACAAATGCACACACAAACGTGCGCACAAACCCAGGCGGGGCTGGGCAAGCGTATTGATTGCTGCCGGACGCTAGCAAGCCGGCGGGGGAACACAGCTGATTCTCGGCTGCCGCCCTGCCACGCCCGTGCCTTGCCAGGCCGCCTCACTCCAGTGTCCTACAGCACTCAGCCTCCCCGCGCTCCCCCTCAACCACACACTCCCTTTTCTGGTATCTGCCGGGAGGCCGCTACCTCCACTACCACCGCCTCGCTGCCACCCACAGCAGCTGTTGCTAGGCACAGCCTCCTTCAGCCCCTGCTGCGGTAAGGTCACCCTTCAGCACCTAAGCCTCTACCATCACCCTCACCGACATAAACGTCCACACGAGGCAAATATTTTCCCAGTTGGTGGAGCCTACACGGTGCGGCGGCTGAGTGAGGACAGGAGGGGGTGTGGGGAGAGGTGTCCTGAGCATCAGCCACCCACGCAAGCGGGGCGGCACATCCCCCGCCGCCCCCCACCCACCCACTCACACCAACATCTCCCCGGCCACTACCCCGCTCACCTGCCCTCCACATACCCACCCACCTTTGTTTCCACACGTTAACTCCTCGGCCTTATCTCTCTAACACCCTCACCTTAACTTCTCCCCTCATGCTGGGGACGTGACAACGATCCTGACTCGCTAAAGCCCCAAAGTGGTTCTCCATTCATCCCTACAACACAAAGGTGATGTTAAAATGGAGTCAAACACGCACAGAGACTCTAGATGTGTAACCTACTCTTATCCCGCGCGCGGTCAGGGAAAAAACAACAACAATTAGGAGAATCTTGAGACCCTGGCTGGACCCCACCAACACCACGAAAATATCTTACGAGTAAAAATAAGAGAACGGATGAGTACAGTCTCCATTGGTCTCCACACACTATACTGGAGGTTCAGTCATAGTGAGGGAGAGGGAGGAAGGTGTGAGGGTGAGGGAGAAGGGGTGAGGAGGTAGAAAAGGTGTGCGGTAAATGAGGGTGGGAGGGTGAGGGAGAAGGATGTGAGGGTGAGGGAGAAAGGTATGAAGGAAGGGAGAGATACGTGAAGGAGGCGAAGAAGATGTGGGGGAGGGGAAGGAAGAATAGACAACAAGAATAGGAGTACCAAGGATGAGTGAATAAAAGTGAAAGGAAGGAGAGAGAGAGAGAGAGAGAGAGAGAGAGGAGAGGAGAGAGAGAGAGAGAGGGGGGTGGCGACAGCGGAGGACGTGAGCAAGGCTTTCATATCAGGATCTTCTACACCCTCCTCAAACTGTGCCCTAATCTCCCCACACAGTCACCCTCTACACCCCCACCCCTCTACATTCTGTCACCCCTTCACTATCACCTCTACAGTACAGCCTTCACCCCCTTCACTATCACCCCTCTACAGCCTTCATCCCCTTCACTATCACCCCCTACAGCCTCTCACCCCCACTATCACCCCTCTCCAGCCCCTACCCTTCACTATCACTCAACAACCATTTGCTCACTATCATCTCACTCTTATTCACCATTACTCACCACCAACTCACCACAATTCACCATCTCACTACCACTTCACTACTTCTACACCATCACCTTCACCACAACTCACCATCACCTCACTACCACTTCACTATCTCTACACCATCACCTTCACCACAACTCACCATCACCTCACTATCCAGACACAGATTAAGTACCCCGAGCTATTAATTGCTAACTAATCCACAATGCAGACAAGAAAATAAGCGGCGAACCTTTCTAGTCTCTTGTCATGCACCATTATCTCTCTAGTAACCCAACAATGCCCAGCTGAGATAATCCTTGTGGGAGAGAGTGAGTCCCATCTACTGTAGGACTGGTTGAATGATCTGGCCTCCATACACACACACACTCTCTCCTCACTACACACATCCTTCTCTACTACACATCTCTCCCTCACCCATATCAATTTCATTCTCACTCCTCACTACACATCACTCCTCACATACACCACTCCTCACTAACAACATCATTTCCTCAACTTACACACCACCCTCACCACACACCACCACTTCACCACACACCATCTCAATACCATCACTATACTGCTATTTATCAACTGTCTACGTCACTCACAAACAGGCCTATTGGGTTGTGGTGGGGGGTGGGGGGGTGTCTGGGTGTGTCTGGGCGAGTGAGAGTGTGGGCGGGAGGTCTGGGTGAGTGTGTCTGGGTCTGGGTGAGTGTGTCTGGGTCTGGTGGTGTGTCTGGATAAGTGTGTCTGGGTGAGTGTCTGCAATGTGTGTAAGTGTTTCTGGATAAGTGTCTGGATGTGGGTGGAGTGTGTCTTGGTTAGTGTCTGGTGGATGAGTGTGTCTGGTGGGTGTGTCTGGGTGGAGTGTGTCTGGGTGAGTGTGTCTTGGTTAGTGTCTGATGTGTCTGTGTGGGTGTGTCTGGGTGAGTGTGTCTGGGTGAGGTCTGGGTGAATGTGTCTGGGGTGAATGTGTCTGGGTGGGTGTGTGTGAGTGTGTCTGGGTGAGTGTGTCCGGAATGTAACTCTAGAATCGATACAGACATTTTTGGGCGAAATTTCAAAGACAAGTCATCAAGACACCGAAAGCCAGGTCAAAGGTCACAGGTGCAGGTCAAAGGTCACTGGTGCAGGTCAAAGGTCACAGGTGCAGGTCAAAGGTCACAGGTGCAGGTCAAAGGTCACAGGTGCAGGTCAAGGTCACAGGTGCAGGTCAAAGGTCACAGGTGCAGGTCAAAGGTCACTGGTGCAGGTCAAAGGTCACAGGTGCAGGTCAAAGGTCACAGGTGCAGGTCAAAGTCACAGGCGTAGGTCAAAGTCACAGGTACAGGTCAAGGTTAAAGGTACAGATCAAAGGACACAGGTACAGGTCAACGCTACAGGTGCAGGTCGAAGGTCATA